AAGCGTCTGCCTTCGGCTCAGGTCATGATCCCAGGGTCCTGGGATCGAGCCCCGCATCGGGCTCCCTGCTTGGCGGGGAGCCTGCTTCTCCCTCTGCCACTCCCCCTGCTGTGTTCCCTTTCTCGCTGTGTCTCTCTCTTCAAATAAATAAAATCTTTAAAAAAAAAAAAAAAAAGCACGTGGGGCTTGAGGGACAAAGGGAAGAGATAAAAGCATATTCCAGGAAAGGCCCAGAGCTCTGGTGCAAGAGAGGGCAGGACTGCAGGCAATGTGGAGGTTAATAAGCGAAGGACAGAGGTGCTTCTCAGGGAAGAACTGAGAAATCAGGGGCTCAGGAAGGGCTGGGGGAGGATGCTGAGAACAAACCCCACTTCTTCCTAATTTTATCCAGGACTGGCCATAAATTTGAGAGAGGAAGGGAGAGAGGAGCAATGGAAGAACTAAAGGCAGCTTTGAAAGAGAACATGCTAACAAGCAGATTAAAAATACAGTTCAAATTCCAATACCACCACATCAAAAGGCCTAACTTGGTGTGTACACCAGGGTTTTGTTGTATTACCTAAGCAAGTGAATTCTCAGGGTCTGGGAATATTTGTTCATGTTGAGATTGTATTACGATATTGTATTGAAATTTTATAATACCATTTCCATAACTACTTTTAAAAGAAAAGAGATAGATAAAAATAGGAGGGAGAGAGAGAGAGAGAAAGAAAGGAAGAAAAGAAAGAAAATTAAAGAAAAGAAAAGAAAGAAATAAAGGAAGAAGGGAAGGAAGGAAAGAAGAATAGAAGCCAGGAAAGCTGGCCCTTGCAGGGGACAGGCCAGTGAGGGGAAAACCCCAGGTGTCAAAAACAGATGTGGATGCAGGAGCTGGAGGATGAGGACACAGCTGACATCCGAGTAATGGGCATAGCAAATGATTTCCATGTCCAGGTGGATAGGCCACAGAACCACCTGTGTTTTGCCAATCTGGTGAGAGTTTAGTTTCTACAGTGAGTAACCCATTATATTCCTTGAGCTCATTATTAAAAAAAAATGCTTGAAGACACTATCAAGTTAAATTACAAGAGAGGAAGCAAATGAACTCATTCACTCACTGACTCATTTATACTCAACAAATGTATATTTGGTGTCCACTGAGGTACTAGGAGAAACTCTGATAAACACAGAAAGAGGCTCTCCAGACACGCTCAATCCCACCGACATTTCTTGATTTCTGCTCACAGTATCTACCTCTGAGCTTTTTCCCCACCTTTAATATTCCGACCTTCTTGGAACAAAATCACCCAACTTAATTTCTAGAACAAAGAAAAACATGTAGAGAGCCAGGGATTTGCAGGAAAGCAGCACAAAGGAGGTTTATATTTAATAGCTCCTTTCTTCTCATGTTTCTGGCATTACTTGTCATTTGTTAATTGCTACTCTATTTTTCATCTGCAACCATCTAAAGTAAGTTGCCATATAACTGAAAAATATGGCTGTCTTAGGAACCACCACCTAGATGCAATTTAACATTTAACACAGAAGCAGGGTGGTATAGGAAAAAGTATCTGACTCAGAATAAAAAAGACCAGACTCTCGTTGTGGATTAGCTACTCTTACCTTATCTCGTTTACTCTCTCCAGACCTTACTTTTAACATCTGTAAAATGACAGGCAGGATTAGACGATCCTTGAGATGACTTCCTACTCTAAGATTTTATTGCTCTAAAGTTTTGTAGTAAAAAAATTATGTGTTTTCTAACTCTGGCACTTTAAAAAAAAATGTAGTACCCATTCTGAACATTTAAAAATAGACACCTGAAAATAATTCACAGATACGAGACAAAAAGTTCTAAGATCTTTAAAAAAAATTGGCACATCATGCTATTATGAAATCCCCATTTAGTGATTTTTATATTTAAACAGTTTAATTGGAATGAAATCTCAAGTTCTTCAGATTTTTCTTCTACAAGTTTCTTCTGGCATGTAAATTTCACAGGCCACTTTTAACTTCACCACTCAATTTCCACTCCCTTCATGCCCTCACTCATGTTGCTTCCCCTTTATAGCACCTCCAGTTTCCCTCCTTTATCCAGCAAATCCTGCCAGCCAATCCTTTTTCAGTAGGCTATCATCCCAATTCCTTATATCAATCACTGGATCCTGAGAACTTAGAAACAAATTATGGGAAAGAGTTTTCTATGCTGCCTTTTTCCCCCCAACTGATGATTCCCCCGGCATACTGTAAAGAAAGGGAAATTGACTAGGTCATCCTTCTGCTTAAAATCTGTCAAGAATTCACCTTTATTTAACAAAGAATCCCTAAACTCCTTGCCTTGGCATTCAAGGCCTTTCACAGGTTGATGAACTTGAGAACCACATAGCTGATGATCTTCCAACCAACCTGGATGGCTACACTACACGTCATTACCTCATCTCCTCGTCCCCACCTAGGAGCATTCTACTTATGGTACGGAGTCCAGCTCATGACCCACCTTCCTGATAAAGCCCTTCCTGGCACTCTGTAGGAGCCTCCTCAATCCCTGTGACACTTCGTTCTGCTAAATTCTCAGCAACAGAGGGGATGCACTGTGCAGTTTATGATGCTGCTCAACACCTGTCCTATTTCTAGATCTTGTCTTCCCCACAGAACTGTGAGGCCAGGCATTAGGCTCCTGTGTATCCACCCCAGGGCCTGATGCTGTCACAGGATTGCACAACTATAGGGGGCACCATTTCCCTCTACGTAACAATGATTTCACACACCATTCATTCAAGTTTCACCCTGAATGGCTAACAGAGTTGCCGGTGAGAGAAGTGAATACACACAAGAACATAAACTGTACCCGCCCCCAAATAAACAAATGGTTCCTTTTAAAGCCATGATTTTGGTTCAAGGGTGCAAAGTTGAACTTGGAAATGAAAAGAAGAAAATGTATTTAATTTTAAGATGATAGGACAAAGCAAGTTTTATTTGAAGACAAATTCTATGTCATTCACAAGCCTAAGAGGGAGCTGATATAAAGGTATCAAAAATCTCTAAACAAGGTGTAGAACAAAAGATGGAGGAGTGGGCGAAATCACCTTGGCAGGTCTGCCCTCCTAGATGAATGTTCCCTGTGTCCCTAATTAACATTCTCTGTGCAGACAGGGATTTCTACCAATGAGAATTACTGGCGTATAAACCAAACTCTGTCTTCTGAATTGTAAGATGGTCCAAGGTGCAATGCTAGGACACCGGAAGACAAGAGAAAAAGCATAATACTTGCTTCCATCAAAAAGGAAAGCATGGACATTAGCATATTTTAATTAAAATTTTTTTTGCTTACATTTTTCAGTTAAAAGTTTCTAGTTTGCGATGTAATACAGAAAAACAGGGATTACCACATTTTATAATGGATGACGTACTTTTTAGAGTTTATTTCAGAATTCTTCAGGAGGAAAAATGTCCTAAAAACACCATGGTTTTCTTTTTTTTTTTTTTTTAAAGATTTTATTTATTTATTTATTTGACAGAGAGAGACACAGCGAGAGAGGGAACACAAGCAGGGGGAATGGGAGAGGGAGAAGCAGGCTTCCCTCTGAGCAGGGAGCCCGATGCGGGGCTCGATCCCAGGACCCTGGGATCATGACCTGAGCCGAAGGCAGATGCTTAACGACTGAGCCACCCAGGCGCCCCAACACCATGGTTTTCATGATAAAAATAACAGTACCTGTTTTCTTCCCTAAGGTCATTCTGCATGGCTTGAGTCTCCCGCGCCAACTTCTGGGATCTTGTGTAGTCTCTCCAGGCCCGCAGGACCTTCAGTTGGAACTTCCAGTTGGACAGGGTCCCAGCTTTTCCCAGCTTAATCCTGTGATCAAGAATCAGCTCGTGCCAGGCAGAGAAATACCGTTTTTGACACTGCAACGGAAACATGTGGAAAATCACCATGGATGAGCTAATATCTGATACCGAGAGCTGTCACCTCAGATTTCCCCCTCACACTTCTTCTAACAAATCTAGGAACTGTTGTCTTGATGGAAGAGAAGCAAAGTATAATTGCTTTCTGCTAATAATGACGACAAATATTCAAGTCATGCAGCTGAGGTACTCTCGGGCTCACGACTTAAACTCCAATACTTAGTTCTCATTGTAAGGCATCGGTCCGATGGGGATCCCGAGTAACAGTCACTTCGAAGACCCGAGTTAAGGGACTCGTTTGAAAAGCTTGAAACATCTGCTTCCAGTAGGCTTGCCAGCTTGTCTTGGAGTGTAAATACCATCTGAGTAATTCATTCCTATTACTAATGCTGCTGATGTCCTGCACAAAGGAACATGGAAGATCCCATGAGGAATAGAATGGGGGACTCTGGTCCCTGGAAACAAGACAGCTAAAACAACAGCTTCAGCTGAGCCACCACTGACCATGATAGAGCTCTGTGAGTGCCTAGAGAGACCAGATGCTCAGGATGCTTGGGATCTTCCACTACATGCATCTGACAACAAGACAGGATCTACTGAGCCTAAGGATGTCCCTAGAGAAGAACTTTACTCATGGTCCTAGTAAATCTCTGAGATCTAGCCCTTGCCTACATCTCCTACCTTCAAGGTAAACTTAATGTTCCCACTACATCACATAACTTTCAGCTCTTGACCTTACATCAACCACACTGTTTAACACTTTCCTATGTTCATACTAATTTCTTGGTCCTCCTTTTCTGCCCTTTCTTTGACTGACTACTTCAGGACTCACTTCTCTCTGGAAGTTCTCCTGTTACCAACTGCTCTCCCCAAATATAAGTGTCCTTCCACTATGTTCCCAGAGCAACCTCTGCTTTCCATCAAAACACTCATTACACTGTATTATAACCACCTGTTTACTGGTTTCCACTAGACTGTGAGCCTTCATAAGGAAGGGACTTGGTCCCATGAATGGAAATCGCAAATCTGAGAGTTGTACCAAGGGTTGATAGCAATAAAATAGAAAGTAACCTCATAGAAAGTGACTCTGTGGGAGACAGAGGGGGTACATGATGACCAGCTTCAAGCACTTGCTAGCCCTACCAGGGTCAGCTGCTATTTACTGCTTATATCTGTGCAACAACACTTATCTTTCACTATTTCAACATTTAGTAAGCAGCCACCCCTGGGTTTAAATTGGGGAACTCTGAACAAAATTAAGAGGGCAAATAAATTAAAAGACTAATAACCTAAGGGAGCATATGTTAGAATTCTTAGAAATAGCCCATTTGGCTAGGAATGTTTTCTTACACAAGAATTCAGTTCTATTCCCATTTAGACAAATTACAGAATCTTCTTTATTATTATTTATTGGGAGAAACCATGGCAAACTTTAAAAAGCTCTCATTCCCTTTCCATTATGTCAAATGAGGGCGTACTGTCTAGACCTTCACCTTAGATCCCACGGAAAGAAGGGAAGAAGAGAAGACAGGGAGGGAGGGAGGAAGGGAGATTTGCTGAATACAGGATATGCCTGCAGTCATAAAAAGGCAAAGACACACAGCTGCCAGGTTGAGTTTTTGCATTATTATCTGCCTGTCTAATCCACAAAATAAAGCATGAAAAAAATATATTGTTAACTTGTGTGCCATAGTCAAAAGGAAATATCCTCTGTCTACCAGATTCATTTAAGAGACTCCTATTGGTGTACAGCTATCTCTAATTTTAACTCCTGGAATATTTCTACTGATGAAATAGTATAAACATAATCCACCTGGACAATAATAACACTATTAATAGCGTGCTTCTTGGATTTCTACATTCCTTGTCTATTAAGTTCAAGGCATTACTGTAAGCACAATATTACATGCACTATTAATTTGTAGACCATCATTACAAAATAGAGAGACTGCAGATATTATTATGATTTACCTTACACCAAGCTGAACTTCAAGTAGAGAAGAGTTAATGACTAAATTCACAGAGTGAAAAGTTAGTGGTACACCTAAGGCTAAAACCGAAACACTCTGGCATCCTGATGACCTAATCTATTAGGCAAAAAGTCTCCTAAAAATGAAGGGCAAAATCTCTGCTTCTTTTATACCGAAAGAGAAAGAAGTCAGTACATAACTAACTATGGTAGAAGAGCACCACTAGAACATAACTGAATTTAAGAAGGGAAAATTTGAGTTCCTAAATGCTATAGTCAACATATTTCTTTAAAATAGTTTAGACTTTGAAAGCAAAATGATCAGTTTTAAAGGTCTATAATTCAGTTTCACTACATAGAAGTTAGTAACAGCAAAGTGACAGACTCATAGCAACTGTTTTCTTGAAATCAACTGGTTTTTCCTGCCTATTCAAAAGAGCAATCCCATTAAAATTTAAATGAAAAAATACAAGTGTGAACCAAGAATAGCCACTTATTCTTGACTCAGAGCAAACGTTATTCAGGCAAACAGGAGTCCCATAAATGTGCTTGGAGGAAAATATTTGGGAAAGGAAAATATTCTCAGTCCTGTCTTCTCTGGAAGATGCTAGCACTCTGCTTTTATTTAGAAGGGATGAGAAGTGGCATACGTCCATAGTCATGATCTATTTATTCTTTCTATTACCTCTCCCCCCAGCTGAGTCCCTGCTGTTCCCAGGCCTGCTTCTCCTCTTCAGTACTACACTCGGGAGCGACAACCCTGCTCTATCCTTCTGCGCTCGGAAACAAGAACTATTATTTAAAAGCACAATCGGGTTGGAAGAGGAATACACTCTGTTTAATTCATTCTATTTAATAAGTTCTATTTCAGAATTTAATGTTTTAACTAGCTGGATGACTAGGATGACCTCCCTCCCTTTCTTACCTAGTTCCTTTATTTCTGTACCATGTTTTATTTCTGAAGGATTTTCAAATACAGTCATTGATTTTAACTTCCACATCACTTTAACATAGTGGTGGTAGTGAAAATTAAGGCTTCCTACAGGTAAGTAAAATACTGAAAATCACGGTGGGAAGAACTGTTCCTAAATACATTATCTCTAATAATTTATAAAATAAAATACTACAAAGTGAAATTTAGAAAGTTTTTAAGGGAAATGCTCTTCTCGTCTCAAAATCTTCTACAAGACATCATTTGATCGTTAAGGATTCCACTCGAGAGAAGAAATGACAGCTCGCCCTGCTAAATTTATTACCTGCACTGGAGTTGCCCTCGTTTTGTTGGCAAGAAAAGCTCTTCCCTGAAGTGTAATCACACTGCTGTCACGGAGAATGACTGACGTTAGGTGGAACAGCAATTTGCTATCTAATCTTCATTGTAATTCTAACCCCGTCACTAGAGATGCTTGTTCTGATTAATGAAGTGGGTAACTCATCAAAATTCCTCAGCTATTTCCCTTTTGTCAGAAAGCTCAGTGATAATTGCATCAAAATTCTCAGTCATGGAAAAATAAACAATGCATTGTAAAGAGGACAAAAATGTCAACAAGTTTACAATTTATTTCTGCTGAACACAACTAACTGTGGTGCAACCAGTGGTCGAGGGGAGTTGGCCGAGGCTCCCCTCCACGTTAGCAAGAAAGCTACACGCCCCCTAGGACCCCAGGTGACTCCTTGCTACTCCCTGGCTTTTAAAAGTAACAGGCGCTCTAAAGCTACCCAAGGAAGTAACTTTTTTCCTTTTGGGGACCAATCCAGCTAGGCAAAAGCCCCACGGAACCTTTGCAGTCCCTGGGGGTTGGGGAGAGGAGGATCCTATCAGGGCAAAATGAATGCCCCTGGGAAGGAGTATCCTGTGTCCCACCCTACTCCTGATTTTCATACTTACGCCCCAAAGAAAAGAGAGGAAGTCATTGTGCCCCCTACCCCAGAGCATAAATACTCCTGTAACTAATTATGTTAGGGAAAATAGATTCAGTTCTCTGCACACAGTGCTAAGACCTGGACAACGCCTGGTTCCATGGAAAAGCCCAGAGGCCTACACTTTGACAACCACTGCTGTGTGAAATGCTAACCCTGGTTACAGACAAAAAGCTATTTTGTTATATCCTGGAAGATGCAATGCTCTTTTAACTTCTGTATTTAAGTTTTTTCTCCTTCCTTTTTTAAACTTAAAATAAAAACAAAAAACACCCTTATTACAGAAATTTAACAAACATACCCAAAAGTAGAACAGAAGAATAAACCCCCCATTCAGCTTTTAAAAATTACCAACATTTTGGGGCACCTGGGTGGCTCAGTCGTTAGGCGTCTGCCTTTGGCTCAGGTCATGATCCCAGGGTCCTGGGATGGAGCCCCGCATTGGGCTCCCTGCTCAGTGGGGAGCCTGCTTCTCCCTCTCCCACTCCCCCTGCTTGTGTTCCCTCTCTTGCTGTGTCTCTCTCTGTCAAATAAATAAATAAAATCTTAAAAAAAAAAAATTACCAACATTTTGCTGATCTTATTTTCTCTTTCCATCCATTTTTTTTTCTGGAATATTTATAAATAAATCCCATACATTAGACATTATATCACTTCACTCATAAATGTGTGAGTATGTACTGCCAACATTAGGACATTTCGTAAACTCTTCTTAATTCTAAGAACTTTAATCAGTAATATTGCTTTTATTAATCTAACTCTGTTTCACTTCAGAAATAATACAATTTCAGAAAGCAATTGCTTAGTCTTACCATACAGTAAATTCTTAATGAGCAAAACTCTCTGGGATCTTGTAAAGAAGAATGATCACAATACAGCCTATAACCTGACTATTCATTAGGACAATCCTCCTTCCCCAACGTAGCTCAGGGCCTCATGTCTTTAGGGAGGGCAGACCCGCTGCTTCCCATGAACTCTCCTTCTTCCTCTTCCAGACTTCCTTCCCCCCTCCACCAATCCCCACTCCCTGCCCATTCTCCCCCACCCCCAGCCACACACACTCGAACCACGGAGAGTAGAGCTCACCTCAGAATATATTAGACAAATGTTA